AACTGTGTTAAGAAACCCCACGGAGATCTGTAATTCCTGCTTTCCATGCTCAGGCAGTGGGTACTGAAGCACTCAGGAATGGAATCATTAGTGTTCATAAAATGTTTGGCCAAAGAGAAAGTTTTTGGGAATATCTTAAAGGAGAAAACTGACATTGGTGGTCTTGAGGAGAAAATCCCACTGTCCTTTTTAGCCATGGACACTGACCAGATAACAATGGTTGAGCTTCTGGAGCTACTGAGTGCAGCTGTATATCTCCAGCTGATCACAAGCCAAGCTTGTATCATTTATTCGTGTACTTATCCTGTTAATTAGTAAATGGGCATTGGCAATTATGAGGAATATTCCTGGATGTATCTCCATATATATTAGAAAAATAGGCTTGAATGATTTTGCACATTTTAGTGTCAAATTTGGGAGGTAATGTTCAGCTTCTGCAAGTGGGGAGGGATGTGTAAAACAAAATGTCGTGGATCTGTTGCCAATTAGTATACCAAATCCTTCTGTTAATGTTAGTTAACAATGAGTTTGAGGAGTTGCCGACATTAAAATGACTGTGATTTGACAATGGCATGATATCCTCTCTAGGACAGCCAGGGTAACTGGTCTGGGAAATTGTCATGCAGGATGGTATGCTGTTAGAAGCTGAGTCACACCATTCAAGTGTGTACTGGGAACTTATCGTACACCCTTTTCTATGTGTGTATGTATGACCATATGTTTGGGTGGTACAGTGGCTCAGTGGTTAGCACTGCTGCATCACAGCACCAGGGACCCAGGTTCACTTCCACCCTTGGGCGACTATCCGTGTGGTGTTTGCATGTTCTCCCCGTGTCTATGTGGGTTTCCTCCGGGTGCTTCAGACTCCCCCCCGTCACAGTCCAAAGATGTGCAGGTTAGGTGGATTAGCCATGCTAAATTGCTCATACTGTCCAGAGATGTGCAGGCTAGCTGGCTTAGCCATGGGAAATGCAGGGTTACAGGGATGGGGGAGATGGGTCGTTCTTCGAGGGTTGGCATTGACTCGATGGTCTGAATGGCCAGCTTCCGTACTGGTTCAATTCTATTATTCTATGACCTGAGATTTAGTGATGCTAATACTGGAATTAAATAGTGAAAATACTCTGGCATTGGCAGTATTCAGTGATCACTAATGTTTTGTTTTATCTCCACAACCATCCGTTTTGAAGATATTTGGATTTTCTGGCTCTGCTCTAGTGACTGGTGGCAGAGAGGAGAATAATATCAGAGCCACTAAACAGAAAAGATCATTACTTCTTTCTTTAATCTCTGTCCTTTGAACTTTCTGTGATTTGTTCGACTAATCAGGAACTGTAAGAAAGACTTACCCACAAAATATTGATGATTAAAACATACTTACCTTGAATTTATAAACATCAATAATTATCAATTATCTCACAAAAAAACAACCCATGATTTTTGACATTTTGGCTACTAGGCTCAGGTTTTTAGCAATGCTGGCAAAATCCAAGTTGAAAGTAAGAAGAGTGCGAGAGACAATGTGGTCAGAAGAATCCAAAGCTTCCAGATTTGTGGAGGAGATCAATTCCAGGGCATGTTTTATGATTTTTCTTTGACTTGACCTGTTTGCCCTATAGCTTCTGTCCACCAAAGATTGTTTGCTTTGGTTAGACTTATTAGACATCAAGTTCAATTTTCTCCTTTAACAAAAACCACTCAGGGAATAAATTCAGAAACTGAAGGAGTGTCCATGAAGGTTCTACCTAAACCAGTGGGTTTTTCATCTGATGAGATAAGGTTAAAATTAGTTCAGTTTACATGTTGTTGACCATCAGTGTTGAGAATCCCCTGGTGATATCAACATAAAAATCTGCTCCAACTTGATCTCTGAAGTGTGGTCTGGAAGTTAATGGAAAAACTTTATTTTAAAACAGGTTAGCCCTTTTAAGCTCCTGCTATTGTATATGATTTAATTTTCTTTTCTGGCACATTGTGGTGCACCGCAGTGTGAGTCCTGCCTACGTTTTAATTTTTTGGTCATGAACTACTGGCTGTGTATGGATCTAACTGTAGACCTGCACATCAGGAGCCCATCTGTGGTATCACTGCCAATGACAGTCAATACCACCTCCATCAGCTTATTTTTCTTTACGCCCTCCATGGAATGCTTCAATTCTATTCTCTGAGAAGAATACCTTTAAATTTAAATAAGATAACTTTCCTCAAGTGCAGTTTATGCATAAGCATGTTCATTTTCTTGAGACAAAACCAGTTGAGAAAAAGTAATTCTGGGAAATGAATGTATTGGCCTTTTTAGAGCTCTAATTTGAAGTATGCTAGACAGATTGGATCAGTATGTGTCATTCGCCAGTTTTTCTGGGATTTTTCCTTCTCAGTTGGGCGCTGCACTTTCCCACAGACATTTATTTTGCCAGCCAGTGTCTTTACAGTCTCTTTTCAAATCTCAAATTTGGAAAAGCTAAAATACTGTACAGTGAGGAAAACATTTCCAGCTTTATTGAAGCCTCATGTTTCTCTCTCCTTGTGGTCCCACTTACCTTCAACTGGGCACACAGTTTCAATTTTTGGACAGCTATAGTCTGTGCAATTTCCTGCCCCACTGTATGTTGGCAGCTCAAGCCCCAGTTTGGTCAAAGAGTCATTCATGAATAAGCAACAACACCAACGCTGAAAAATTCTGAAAACATTGTGCTCAGTCACCTTCCCCATATAGTTTCTGTGGTTTATGGAAAACTGGTAGAGTTTCTCTGTAGCTCTTTCCACAGAAAGAAGGGAGTAACCCAGACATTTTTTCTTACGTGGACGGAAAATTACATAAGTCTTCTTTAAAATACATCATGCTATTTGAATTAAGCTTTATCTTCTTTTTAGTAAGACAGCTGGAGACCGATTAAAATGCTGATGGTAAATCATGCTCAACAATAAAGTGGTACTGATCCAATTATACTGATCCTTGCTGCTAGCAGTATTTATTCAGCTCCTACGCCAGTGGTCTTGGGACCGAGATGAAATATTAATGGGCCTGATCTTCCCTGTCAAGTCTGTACCCATGACAAT